CAGTGGCTGTATGTGTCTACACGTCCATCAGCAGTGGAGGAGAATTCCTATCTCACCACATACCCACCAACATTTGTTGCTCTCAGATTTTCTGATTTGGGCTACCTTCAAGGGTGTTAGGTGGTATCTCGTAGTTGTTTTAATGTGCATTTCTTTGAAAACTAATGATCGGGAGCATTTTCTCATATGTTTATTGGCCATTTGGGTCTCCGCCCTTGTGGAACTTCTGTTCGGGTCTTTGTCCACTTCCTCGGAGGGTTAACTGTTTTCTTCTTTTTGCAGGCTAGGAGCGCATTGTAGATTTTAGTAACAAGCCCTTTTTCTGTTGTGCCATTTCTAGAAATCCTCTCCCAGTCTATGGGTTCTCTTGTTACTCTCATGGTGAATTTTTTTGACACACACAGGTGTTTTATCCTTAGTATATCCCATTTGTTGAATTTAGCATCATCTGTGTGTGTACCCTTCCCTATTACAGGTGGCCTATGTATTCCCTTGGTCAAGGATCTTAGGTTTATATCCACTCCGTCATTGATGGTCCTGATCATTTGGGGTTTTACTTCTAAGTATTTGATCCACTGTGAGTTTGTTCTTGTGCATGGGGTGAGGTAAAGGTCTTGTTTTATTTTTCTATAAGTGGCTACCCATTGTTTCCAGCACCATTTGTTAAAGAGGGCATCCACCTCCCACTTGATGCTTTTGCGGCCCTTGTAAAAGACTAGTTGTCTATATGCTGGTGGTTTTATTTCCTGGTTTTCTGTTCTTTTCCATTGGTTTTAGTGTCTGTCATTATTCCAGAACCACATGTTCTGACCAGTATGGCTGTACAGTGGGTGTTAAAGACAGTTAAGGTGAGTCCTCTGATTTTGGCCATCTTGTTGAGGAGTTCTCAGGTAATTCTGGGCTTCTTCGCTCTCTATATGAAATTGGTAGTCAATTTTTCCAATTGTTCATAAAAAGGCTTTGGGTATTTGAATTGGGATAGAGTTAAACTTACATAGTGCCTTGGGTAAGATTGACATCTGTACTAAATTGAGTCTTCTGATTCAAGAGCCTAAGATATTCTTCTGTTTTGTGTAGTTCATATTTGGTTTCCTGCAGTAGGTTTCTTTGGGTGTCAATGTATAAGGAATTTATTTTATTTTGTTTTGTTTTGTTGTTGTTAGATATTTCCCTAGATATTTCAGTTTGTTCCTGGCTATTGTGAAGGGTACTGTCTTCATCTCCTCTTCCGTGGTCTTGTCCGATGTATATAGAAAACCAAAAGATTTCTGCTTGTTGATCTTGTATTCCTCCATCTTCTGTATGCCTCTATCTCTGCCAATACTCCTGTTGTAGAGCTTGGGTTTTTCAATGTATAGACTCATGTCATTTCCCATTCCAATAGTTTCACCTCCTCCTGTCCCAGACAGATAGCTTTAACGTCTTCTGCTGCCTTATGTTGTTAGCCAGGACCTCCAGTACAAGGTTGAAAAGAAGTGGAGACAAGGGGCAATCTATTCTAGTTCCCTTTTACAGTGGGATTATTTTAGTCTCGTCTACATTAACTATCATGGTGAATATTGGCTTTTTATAAATGGCTTGTATTAACTTGAGGAATTTTCCTTCCATGTCTATCTTCTTGAGTGGCTTAAGTAGGAATGGGTGTTAGATGCTGTAAAATGCTTTTCCTGTGCCTGTCAATATTATCATGCAAATCTTCTTCTTTTTCTTATCAATGTGGTGAATAATATTGATGAACTTTCAGGTGTTAAACCATCTCTGCATCCCTGGAATGAATCCTACCTGATCATGATGGAAGATATGCTTTATATACTTTTGTAGTCTATTGGCCAATATCTTTTTTTTAAATTTTTCATCTATGTTCATTACAGACTGAGATATCAGTCTGTAATTCTCTGTTCCTATGGGATGCTTGCCATGTTTGGGTTTCAAAGTTATACTGGCTTCATAAAGCGAGTTTGTGAGTTTGCCATCTTCTTCTATGCTCTGGGATAATTTGTGGAGTACCAATGTCAACTCTTCTCTGAATGCTTGGTAGAATTCTCCTGCGAAGCCATCCAGTCTAGGAGCTATTTTTGTGGGTAGTACCTTGATAACCATATATATTCTTTCTTTTGCTATGGGTCTGTTGAGATTCTTGACTGTTATATTGGATAATCTAGGGAGGAATTGTTTTTACAAGTATTTGTCCATGTGTTCCAGGTTGTTGAATTCATTAGAATACAGACTTTCATGGAACTTTGTGATTATCCCTTTAATCTCAATGCCATCTGTTGTGGTCTCCCTAATTTCATCCCTCATTCTGGCTATTGATGTTTGCTCCTTCCTTTCCTTGGTTAGGATTGCCAGTGGTCTGTCAATTCTGTTGATCCTCTCACAGAGTCAGCTTTTTTGCTGTGTTGATCTTTTGCATTGTTCTTTTGTCTTCCACTCTACACTGGTTTTTATTTCTTGTCTTTTGCTATAAAGGGGGTTGTTCTGTTGACTCTGTTCTAGTTGCTGGAAGTTTTGTGACAGCGTATCAGTCATAAGCCTCTCTTCTATTTTCATATATGCATTAATCGCTATCAAACATCCTCTGATAACTACTTTTGTTACACCCGATAGAATTTGGTACTTTGTATTCTCATTCTCATTAGTTTCTCTAAGCTTCCTAATTTGCTCTCTAATCTGGGCCAGTGCCCATTTGTGTTGCAGAAGATTGTTATTTATCGTCCAGTTGTTTGCCCTTGTTTTTCTTGTTGTCCTTTTGTTGATCCCCAGATTTATGGCATGATGGTCTGATGGGGACATATGAGTGATCTCTATGTGTTTGAATTTAGTCAGGCTCAACTGAGGTCCCAGAATGTGGCCTATTTTTGAAAATGAGCCATTTTCACTTGAAAATAATGTAAATATTTTTGCCTTTGGATGTAGAGCTCTATAAATGTCTATCAGGTCCAGTCGCCTAATTGTAGTGTTTAGGTCTATAGCATCCTTGCTGAGCTTCTTTCCCAGTGATGTATCTTTCTCTGATAGCAGTGTATTAATGTCACCTACTATGTATCTATTGATGTGACCATGTGATTCTAATTCTTTGTCTAGTTTAAGTGCAGAATTACATCGATTGTTTATTATTCTTTCATTTATAGATAAATGCCGTAATAGTCATTTTATATTTTTAAAGAATCTCACAATTGTTAAAAAGGATAAATTGTCTTATCGTCTTTGGTTTTTCATTAATTATGTCCTTACTCTGCATTGCTTCCTTCATATCCTGTATTACTCCAAGCAGCATTCTGAAGATTTTTTGTTGTTGCAGATCAATGTTTGATTCTTCTTTGAGCATCATTATGTTTATAACTTCCTCCACTGTTATGTTTTGTTTTTCTTGTGGAGGCTGTTGTTTTGGAAGAACTGGGCACCATGTTCCTGGGAGACCGAAGGGTACTGAGCTCTTTCTCTGTGTGACTGGTAAGAATGGTTTGGGGAAATACTTGTGGCCTACTATGGTGGTGCATCAGGCTGCTGTGTAGGCAAAGTGCGACAGCGATTCAGTGGCTTGGTACAGGGGGTGGGGTTGGGGAGGGGGGCGGTGCCCAGGGTGTGCTGAATCCAGCAAATGTAGGCTTTCCACTGGCCTGGTTTCAGGTGGGCATGCAGCATGGGAACAAGCCTGGTCTGGACTGTTGGGCCACAATTTTCAGTGTTTTAAGACTCTCTGTGGAGCCCAAAATTGGTAGAGCCAGTTTGTGGTTTGGGCTGTGGCTTTCAGTCCCTATCATTTTCTATTTTGTTATGCTAACCCCCCTAGGTTGTGCTCTGGGTATTAGAGTTCTGCCTGTCTTGTTAATATTATTTTAATAGACCAGGACCAATTTTCTGTTGGCCTATATTCAAAGTTGCACAAAGGAACACAGCCTAGAACTATAAGCATTTTTTAAAAGGTTTTTTTTCCCCTTTTCAAAATGGACTTTTGGGGTGCCCTGATATCGGGGCTGTGCTGCGCTTTCACCCAGGGAAGGGGTACCAGATTACCTGAGTTGTTTTGGGGCCAACTGGATCTGAATTCTCCACAAGCAGCCCTCCTGTATCACTCAGGACTCTCTCCTGCAGAGCTGTCATACGTAAATTTCCCCAGGCTTTTCAATTGCTATAAATTAGTGGCTAATTATCTATCATAGTCTAGTTCCCATTCACAGAGAAAATGTTTTCAGTTTCCCTCCACTGAATGTGATATTGGCTGTTGAATTTTCATACTTGGCCTTTATTATGTTGAGGAGTTTTCTTTCTATTCATCCTCATATTTTTTAATGTACTTATTATAAATGGGTGTTGGATAATGTCAAGTGCTTTTTCTATGTATCTACTGATGTGACCATGTGATTCTAATTCTTTGTCTTGTTTAAGTGCAGAATTACATTGATTGTTTATTATTCTTTCATTTATAGATAAATGCTGTAATAGTCATTTTATATATTTTTTTAAATCTCACAATTGTTAAAAAGGATAACTTGTCTTATCGTCTTTGGTTTTTCATTCATTTGAAAGATTTTAGTATTCCATACTATGACAGAATCTTGAAAGAGAATATACTTTTTCTGATGTAAGTCTTTTCCATTCAATAATAATGCAATATAACAAATTCCACAACAATTACATTGAGATTTATAAGAGATGTTTCATAGGTAGGTAATGAAAGGAAGAGACAAAATAAGATCAACATAAAGCTTAGTTTTTGGTGCAGGATCACTGCTTGACACATGCAAGGTTATGGGGTGGGTGTTGCTGCTGACAAAAGTTCTGGAGCTGACACACACAAGTCGTGATTCTCCATTGAGAGTCTCGGCAGGAATTATTTACTGTAGGCCACCTGGAAACTAAGATGTGTGATGTAGTGAAACTTACAGATGCCAACATGGTTTTTAGCTGGAGACATTTTCTGGCTAATTCTTTTTTTCAGATGCTCCTTTCATAGATCATTAGCACCTATTGTTAGATGAAGCTAGGAGGTCATGCTTGTGCTTGCTTCAGCAGCACATATACTAAAATTGGAATGATAAAGAGATTAACATGACCCCTATGCAAGAATGACACACAAACTTGTGAAGTGTTCCATATGTTTCAACTTAAAAAAAGGAGGGATTGCTATCCTAATCTCTGACAAAATTGACCTCAAGGTGTGTGCTAGTTACATAATCTGGTGTCAACTTGCGGAGGGGAGGAGTCTAGCCTGACAATCAGGTTTCACCTCGAAGACCTCATTTGGAGGCACTAAGGAGATAAATAGCTCACTGGAGGTGGGATACTCACACACTCCCTCCTAGACATTCCTGTTGACAAGACACATGGAGCTACACTAGAGCCCTGGAGGTGAAGGAGCCACGTGGGACCGCTGCCAGTGCTGAGATGTTACCACTGCCACTGGATCCACAATATTTTCCATCCACTGGCCTGTGATCTTCCTGCATTCAGCATCACTACATATGTTGAGTGAGTCTGAAGAAAAATTTATAGATGGATATCAGACACATGGGCTAATACCAGACTTATTAACTTGATCTGGACTGGGCTGGGATGATTTCTCAATATTCAATTGCTCTTTTAAATAACACTCTTTCTTATACACATATGAGTGTCTATGGATTTGTTTCTCTAGGCAAACCGGACTAAAACAAGGTGAAAACCATAGGAAGAGATAAGAATAGGCACGATATAATTATCAAATGATCTGTAGACCAGTAAGCATAATTAATTTAAAAGCGCCTAATGAGAGACACACAAAATTGTTCAAACTATTCAAACAATGAAAAAAGAAATCACAAACTCAACAATCATAGTAGGTGATGTTAATACACTGTTATCATAGTAGGTGATGTTAATACACCATTATCAGAGAAAGATAACATCACCGGGAAAGAAACTCTGCAAGGAGGCTACAAAGCTAAACACTGCAATTAGGTTACTGGACCTGATAGACACTTATAGAGCTCTCTCTACAAATTTTTTAAAATTCACATTGCTTTCAAGTAAAAATGGCTCATGTTTGCAAATAGACCACCTGCTGGGACCCAAATAGAGTCTGAGTAAATTCAAACATACAGAGCTCATGCAGACTTCCTCCTCACATCACCACACCAAAAAACTGGTGATCAACAAAAGAACAACAAGAAAAACAAGGGCAAACAACTGGAGGATGAAAAACAATCTACTGAGACATGAATGGGAGTTGTTCCTAGAAACTAATGAGAATGAGAATACAATGTACCAAAATCTATGGGACACAGCAAAAGTATTTATCAGAGGAAATTTGATAGTGATTAATGCATATATGAAAAAGGAAGAGAGACTAGGGACTGATATGATGTCACAAAACCTCCAGCAACTAGAAAAGAGTCAATATAACAACCCCAATAGCAAAAGAAAAGAAATAATAAAAACCTGGCCACGTCAAATGAGTGGGAAGATAAGAGAACAATGCAAAAAACCAACGCAGCGAAAAGCTGGTTCTTCGAAAAGATCAACAGAATCAACAGGCAAGCCTAACCAAGGAAAGGAGAGAGCAAACATCAATAGCCAGAATGAGGGATGAAACCAGGGAAATCACACCAAACCCCAACGAGATTAAAAGGATAATCACAAAGTACTATGAAAGTTTGTATTCTAATGAATTCAACAACCTGGGACACATGGACAAATACTTGGAAAAGCAATCCCACCCTAGATAAGGGACCTCTATCTTAACCCAGATAGAAGTCAAGAACTTCAACAGGCCCATTGCAAAGGAAGAAATAGATATGGTTTTCAAGCATCTATCAAAGAACAAAGTTCCCAAACCAGACAGGACGGCTTCACAGGAGAATTCTACCAAGTATCGATCCTCCACAAATTATTCCAGAGCATAGAAAAAGACAGCAAACTACAAAACTTATTCTATGAAGCCAGTATATCTTTGATACCCAAACAGGGCAGGGATTGCACAGGAATAAAAAACTACAGAATCCCACAGGAATAAGAAACTACAGACCCATATCTCTAATGAGCACAGATGCAACAACATATTGACCAATAGAAAACAAAACTATATAAAACAAAACATCCAACATGATCAGGAAGGAATCATTCCAGGGATACAGGGATGGTTCAACAAATGAAAGGCCATCAATATTATTCACCACATTGATAAGCAAAAGAATAAGAATCACATGATAATATTTTTAGTCTCATAAAAATCATTTGACAACATCCAACACCCATTCCTAATTCAGACAAGAAGATAAGAATGGAAGGAAAGTTCCTCCAGTTAATACATGCTGTTTATGAAAAGCCAACAGCAAACATCCTAGTCAATGGAGAAAAGACAAAAACAATCCCACTGAAAAAGGACAAGGATGCCACTTGTCCCCACTTCTATTCAACATTGTCCTGGAGATCCTAGCTAACAATATAGAGCAACAGAGGGCTATTAAGTTTGTCTGTCTAGGGGAGGTGGAGGTGAAACTATTGCTATTTTCAGATGACATGGTTCTATATATCGAAAAGCCCAAAAGCTCCACAATATAAGGACTGGCAGCTATAGAGGAATATGGAATAGTTGTATGCTACAAGATCAACAAACAGAAGTGTATTGGTTTGCTATATACATGGTAAAAGGCCATGGGAGAGGAAATCAAGAAGGCAGTACCCTCCACAATAGCCAAGAACAAATAGAAATATCTAGGGATATATCTAAGCCAGAAAACAAAAGACATACCCATGGAAAATTACAGAATCCTACTATAGGAAGCCAGAAATGACCTCCACAAATTGAAGAACATCCCATGTTCATGGACTAGAAGACTCAATATAGTAAAGATGTCAATCTTACCCAAGACACTATGTAAACTTAACTCTATCCCAATTCAAATAACAAAAACCTTTCTCAAAGAATTGGAAAAACCGACCACCAATTTCATATGGAGACTGGAAAAGCCCAGAATTAGTAGAGAATTCCTCAAGAAGAAGGACAAAGGTGGAGGGCTCGCTATATGTGACTTTCATACCCACTACACAACCACAGTGTCAAAACAGTGTGGTACTGAAATATGACAGGTACTTGGACCAAAGGTAAAGAGCAGAAAACCCAGAAATAAAACATCAGCCTATAGACAACTGATCTACCACAAGGGCCCCCAAAGCATCAAGTGCGAGGTGGATGCCCTCTTTAACCAGTGGTGCTGGAAACAATGGATAGCCACCTGTGGATAAATGAAACAAGACCCTTCCCTCACCTCATGCACAAGAACAAATTAAGGTGGATCATACACCTAGAAGTAAAACCCCAAGCGAATGAATCAGACAAACCTTAGAACCTTGGTATAGGGAATATATAGTACAACTGTAACAGGGAAGGGTACACACACAGATGAAGCTGAAATTGACAAATGGGATATACTTAAGATAAAGCACCTGGGTGTGTTAAAAGAATTCACCACAAGAGTAACAAGAGAACCCACAGACTGAGACAGGATTTTTAGAAATGACACAATAGGCAAAGGGCTTACTACTAAAATCTTTATTTTAAAAAAGCAGGAGGTGATGGAAGTGGGGAATAGGGCATTAATCCACCCAAGGGAGGGTATTGTTTATGTCTCCACAGAAATGGGAGTGTGAGTGCAGACCCCACCGTGGCATGCCAAACCTTTAGGGCAACGTAACTGCATGGAGCAACTCATCAACAGAGAGGTCTATAGGATTGGCACCAATCAGAGCCAAAATTAACCCTTAATGCCTTGGAAGTATGTGCTATGGAGGACAAAAGAAAACCTACAGTTGCGGGAGAGGGGCTTGCATTCCATGCCCATACAGAAGCAAACCAGGGAGGAAATAAAGAGAGGGAGGGACTAGATCCCATATTGGCACACCGAGTCCTGAGGATGACGTCCTGTTCGTTGCTGCTGAGGAACAGAGAGGACTGTGTGGCTGACAATAGCTTGAGGCATGACGTCCCTTGGCTGGAGCATACTGTGACAGAGGACAGTACCTGCGACACAAGGTGTAGAGTACAGTGGGGTAAACTAAGAAGGGAACACAATAAATCAGCAATGGGAGCAAAGCCATGCCACCAAAACCTTGAGGAGCACCCAAAATAGACATCAGGCTAGCAGGGACAGTTCCCAGAAACCCCTAGGACTGGTGGGGAGATAGTCATAAAGGCCAGTGGACAGACCTGGATGTGATTGCTTTTTCGTTATCGTTTTGTTTTGTTTGCTAGTTTATTTATTTTTTCTTTTCTATTTTTATTCAATCTGTTGTTTTCTTTTTGTTTGGTCTATACTGTTGTTTTGCCTACCTACATAAGATAGCCATGGGAAGCAAGCCTGAGGAGAAAACAATGGGACCTATAGTTCCAGAGGGATTTGGGGGCAGGAAAAGGTGGGTGAAAGGAGAGGTGAGCAAACAGTGCCACAGACAGGGGAACAACTAGGGAATTAAAAGCAACAATGAGGAGGATGTACACATTCCGGTGGTGTTGGAGCAACAGCAATCTAGCTTAGAAGAATTACAATGAGGCAGAAGAAGGGCGAGCATGATGTTAGGACAGGAGGAAGGTAAAAGGAAACAGAGGAAAGATCTAGGAATCAAAGCTATGACTAGAGGTATAAACAAATTTCTAATTCATAAAAACAGAGGCATTGGCCTATGTACATTTATTTATATGACAATACATTGAGGAAGTGGACAGATTTGGGGCCTCTGGGGTCTTAAAAGCTTGAAGTTTAACAAGCAGCCATTTAGCAGAGAAGCAACAAGCTAACATGGAAGAAGCACAGCAGCCTGTGCGATCATGAGGTGTCGACAGAATCAGGTAGCAGGCATCAGAAGACTCAAAACAAACAAACAAACAGTAAAAAACAAACAAACCCATATCGTTGAGAATGAGCGGCGTCAGAGCAGAGACCCCAAACCCATTTGTAGACAATGGGATGTCCCCTCGCAGAAAGATCACAAGGAAGGGATGAGTCAATCAGGCTGCTGTATGAAACAAACAATATTCCTCTGGTTCCTTGAGGTTTCCTCGCTCACCCCACCCCCCACTATGATGAACCCAATCCTGCCTTTCTCCTCTAGCTAGACCAGAGCATG